TAGAGTCCGCACCCTTAACCACTACACCAAACTGGCTCTCTGGCCCCCGGGCCTTATGTTGGACATCCCTGGGTTATTAAGAGTCAAGCTGCACAGTGCACTATAGGAGATCTGTGATGGAAACTTCTATCTGGATTTTTAAAAACAAAACAAAACCATGACAAAGCAGCCATGGGGGGGTGGGGGAGAGCATGCATGCGTGCTTGAGTGGATCGAGTTGGGGCTGCTGTGCTGGGTGGAGAGCAGGGTTCCCTCTAAGCTGAGTGAGTGTGAGCTGGCTCACAGTTTGTTAGCCTCCGGCTCACACATTTTTGTCTCAGCTCAGGAAGGAAGGCTCCAGAGCAAACTGACTTGTGCAGCAGCCAAATCGCTCGCTCACAACTTTAATGCCAGCAGCTCACAAACCAGAATTTTTGCTCACAAGACTCCACAGTTTAGAGGGAACATTGGTAGTGGGGAATTCTTTGCCTCATTTCTCTGGTAGAAGTCCTTATCCCTGATCTCCAGAGGAACTCCTGCGCAACACAAAGGATGCTGGGTAATGTTCCAGGTTGCATGTGGTGTTCATACAGGGAACCTTACTGTTGCTCCCAGAATGTGGCCTGCCACAGACCACGCCCTTATGTCTGGACACTGCAGGGAAGTTCAGTGGTGGGCAGGAGAGCGGTCTTTCTGGGAAGCTCGTCTGGTATTAGCGAACTTCCAATTAAGGAACTCCTGAGGAACACATCACCACCACTCCCAGCACGGTATCTCAAAACCACCGCCTTCGAGCATCTGAAAAGAATGTGGCCACAGAGACTGTTCCCATCAGTGTAAAGGGAACATGATTCTAGTGTTGTGTGTTGTTTGCTGTATGTGCTGCTTTGTTTTGACAGCCCTGTTTTCCAGATATTGTAATCCAGTTTTGGCATGCCTCACACTGTTTCCTTTGTTGCGTTTTCTCATTTTGTAATCCGCCTTGAATCTTAATGAGAATGATAGACTTTAAATAAAACTTAAAAATAAATATGCCAGCTAAATCTGGATGAGATTGATGTGGGTGGATTGTAGGCAGTGTTTCCTCTAAGCTGAGTTAGTGTGAGCTAACTCACAGTTTTTTAGCCTCCAGCTCACACGTTGCTCAGGAAGGATGGCTCCAGAGCAAACTAATGTATGCAATAGCCAAGTGGCTCGCTCACAACTTGAATGCCAGCAGCTCACAAGGTAGAATTTCTGCTCATAAGAGTCCACAGCTTAGAGGGAACATTGATTGTAGGTGTTACAAGAACACACCACTCTACAGCCTGCAAAGCCCCTGGTTCAAATCTTGTCTTTGCTACGAACTCAGCGAAGGCCTTAGTCAAGACTATTGATTCTCAAGCCTTCCCCACCCCACCCCGGCCACCACATACGCATTATGGGAGTGTGGGCATACTTTTCCAGGTTGTTGTGGATGGCAGCAAGATAATTTGTATGAAGTACTTTGAACACAGAAAGTGCAATATAAATGCAGAATATTATCATCGTATGAGTAATACCGAGTGGAACCCCCCTCAGAACTGCACACTCACTTTGGTCCCCTCAGACACCTCAATCTGCAACGTCCATCTTATTTTCTCAAAAAATATCTTGAAGATAAGAGGCCTGAAGCTCCGTGAACACACTTTGAACTGTCTTTTTAATGTATGTGGGACTGTAGTACACATGAACACATGAAGCTGCCTTATGAGAGAGCCAGTTTGGTGTAATGGTTAAGTGTGCTGACTCTAATCTGGGAGAACCGGGTTTGATTCCCCACTCCTCCACTTGCAGCTGCTGGATGACCTTGGGCAAGCCATAGTTCCATCAGAGCTGTTCTCTTAAGGACAGTTCTCAAGAGAGAGCTCTCTCAGCCCCACCCGCCTCACAGGGTGTCTGTTGTGGGGAGGGGAAGGGAAAAGAGCTTGTAAGCCGCTCTGAGACTCCCGAGTGAAGGGCGGGGTATAAATCCAATCTCCTCTCCTCCTCCTCCTTATACTGAATCAGACCTTTTTGGTCCATCAAAATCAGTGTTGTCTACTCAGACTGGCAGCGGCTCTTCAAGGTTTCAGGCAGAGGCCCTTCACATCACCTCCTGCCAGATCTTTTAGCTGGAGGTGCCGGGGACTGAACCCGGGACCTTCTGCGTGCCAAGCAGATGCTCTACCCCTCAGCCACAGCCCCTCCTGAAGGTGAGGCAGGCATGGAGCTGCCAGTGGTTCTAGCTTTAGTAGAGTTGCCTACTCCAGATTCAGAAAATACTTAGAGGTGTGAGGGGGGAGCCTGGGGTGGTGGGGTTAGGGAGGGGTGGGACCTCAGTAGGGTACCGTGGCCTGCAGTCCACCTTCCAAAGCAGCCGTTTTGTCCAGGATAAGTGGGATACATGTTTAAAATAAATAATAAATAAGTGGTTTATTAAATAAGTTGCAAGCTCTGGCACAGCTGTCCTTGAAAAAGAGCAGTTTGTGTCAGAGTTCTCTCAGCCCCACCTACCTCACAGGGTGTCTGTTGTGGGGAGGGGAAGGGAAAGGAGTTTGTAAGCCGCTCTGAGACACCTTTGGGTAGTGAAGGGCGGGGTATAAATCCAATATCTTCTCTTCTTCTTCCTCTTCCTCTTCCTCCTCTTCCTCCTCTTCCTCCTCTTCCTCCTCTTCCTCCTCTTCCTCTTCCTCCTCTTCTTCTTCTTCTTCATCATGTAGTCTGGAGATTTGTAATTCCAGGAGATCTCCAGCCCTCCCCTGGCTGTTGGCAACCCTAAGTCGTAGATCAGCATTCGATTCACTGATATCCTGTGGGTTAATGGGCCTTTTCAGTGTGCTTCTGTCTTCTCCCCTGACTACACTTGAATCAGGCTAGTCAGAAGTTTTCTGCCAGCATCTCCTAAGAGTTCCATTGGTTTCTGGATGCATCCCAGAGAGTTTGGGGAAGGTGAGTGGGATATACTAGATTTGTCAAGCGTTTTCCCCTCCTCTGAGAGGCAAAGGCTCTGAGAGGCTGATGGTGTGGGTTCTGATCCCACTTTATGTCTCCATGAAACAGGTGTTGTGGGTGCCTGGGGGGCTTCAAAATCCTGCTGCACCTATTTATCTGGTTAACGGTAGAAAAGAGCAAGAGTCCAGTAGCACCTGAAAGACGTAACAAAATATGTGGGAGGGGAGGCGCTTTCGTGACTCACTGCTCACTTCTTCAGATACTCACTGCTCACTTCCTCAGGTATCTGAAGAAGTTGAGCCGTGGTTCGCGAAAGCTCCTCCCCTCCCACATATTTTGTTAGTCTTTCAGGTGCTCCTGGACTCTTGCTCTTTTCTACCGCTACAGACTGACTAGCACAGCGACCCCTCTTGATCTATTTATCCAGAGGTGATTCCGAGGCAAAGTCCGCACTTGCTTATGCCCCCACAGGGAAACACAGACCTCTTCCGGACCACTCTGAGCTCTCTCGGTGACTGTCTCTGGCCTCGAGCTGGAATGGTTGGGTTGCCTTCAATGGTGACACTTGAGCTCCCAGAAGACACCCGTGAGCAAGTAGCTGCAACTGTTTGCTGTCACTGTGTTGGAGATAGATCCGTCAGCCGTGTTGATCTGAAGCAGTAGAACAAATGGCACCTTTAAGACCAGCAAAGGTTTATTCAAAGCTCATGCCTTGAATAAGGTATGAGCACTACGGTCAGGGGCCCAAAAGTTGCTGGTCATCCCGGGCCCCAAGGATGCCAAACTAGCTGTGACCAGGGCCAGGGCTTTTTTGGTGGTGGCTCCTACCTGGTGGAATGAGCTCCCGGAGGAGATCCGGGCCCTGCGGGACCTCGTGCAGTTCCACAGGGCCTGCAAGACGGAGCTCTTCCGC